ACTTGGTATAATTACACAGATTTGAAGGAAAAGTTATAATGAATTCAAATTTATGAATTTTGGGGAAGTATATGGCATAAACAAAGGAGAATGTTAAATACCGTGAAAAATTATTTTACAAAATACATTACGGATGATATTGAGTACTTAAATAAGAGAAAAACAAAACTTTATTTGTCTAATGAAAGAGGTTGAAAATTGTTATGGTGGGTCCATTAAAAAAGTTCAGACAAGAAAAAACCGCATCATTAATAACATTTAAAAAAATAATTAATTTCACGTGGAATAGACTAATAACACCACTCTTAAACAAATCTATAAAATATAGGAGTTTTGTCCCCAATCTTCAATCATATAAAAATGAAAAACCGTTATAGAGATAACTATTAAGTAGATTAAAAACATAACTAATGCAAAATTATTTGATTACATTTTGAATGATTTAGTATTACATATATTTATATGTGAGTTAAGTAGTATAAGTAGAAGACTATTTATACAGGGTCTATGACTTAGTTTATTTTTTTGTGTACATGCTTAAGTTTAGACTTTTAGAAAGAAATATCTAACTAAAAGGTATGTTTAGAAAGATAGACAACCTTATCTTGCATCAATAGTGACAATATCAATTATGTCAAAAACTCCCTTCAATAATTAATTTAGAGTAAAATAAGAAAGAAAAAATATATGGTAAAAAAAAAAGTCTTGATAGTCTCTGAGGATTTTTCTCCTCTCTTTTTTTTCGTCAACAATTTTTTTTCTTTCTAAGAACTGCATTGAACTGAGAAAATCAAATGAGCAAGTTAAGTGAGTTCACGGTCTGTTTGGATGGACTTTTTTTTCTTCAAAAATTACTTATTTTTAGAAGAAAAAAAATATTTCTCACTTTAAGTTCATTTGAATGAGTGCTTTTCAAAAAAAAAGTTATCGAAAAAAATCAAAAACTTATTTTTTGTAGAAGCTAAAAATTTTAACTTCTAAAAAAACAGAAATTAAAAATCAAATATTTTTTTCAAAACTTATATATATTTATAAAATATAAATAACTTTAACTTTTATAAAAAAATACTTTTAGAATAAAAAAGAGATAAAAATTGTTTTTTTTTATCAGCCCAAACATGGGCTCATTTTCCAACCGTTTTCAATGAAGTTGACCCAACACGTTGTTACAATGACAGCCGCTTTTGCGAATGTTCACATAATCAAATCATTACAGGATTACAGCGTATACTTACCAAAAACAAAATCATTACAGCGTATATACGAAGAGTTTTATTAATCTCATTTACCATAAGATAGTTATCTTATGTTGTAGAAAAAAAATAAGTGGGTCTCATCATTATTAGAAAAAAAAATGGAGTACAAAAATTGAAATGAGAGATTTACAAAAAAAAAAAAAAAATTGAAATGAGAGAACATGAGAGAAAATATCTTATACAAAAGGAGAGTAATATTTTCCATATATCAAAGGTTTAATATTTTTCTGCGCAAATCTTTCTGTTGCGGCATACATATAAATTTGAACCAAATAATGATAATTCAGTTTCTGTCAGAAAATTAAATAAGTAGAAGTGAAAGCATGTATTCGATCATCTTTAATATTATTTTTGGAAGAATTTAAAGGCTTAATCATGAGATTCGTCTCGAATCAAACTAGTCACAAAATGATAAATCGAATATCTTTAACAAAATAAATAATGGGTCTCATTAATTTTCTTTTCTCAATAATAAAATTAGCTCACTTTATACGAGTGCGATTAAAAGAAATTTTGCAAAATCAAAAATATTTTTCCCATATATCAATATATATATAACCCTAAAAAATTAGAAAGTCCTTATTACAATTCTATCCACCACCGTTACACCAAAACAGTCCTCATATATCTAACAAATATATTCTTAAAGCAATAGGACAAGTAATTTGAAAAGTGTTTTAATTTAATTTAATATTTCATTTTTAACCTAACAAAATATATATATATATATATATATATATATGATATATTTTTCTTAAAATTATATATAATATAATATTTTTAACCTAAACGAGTTGAATTATTATCCCGGAGTTATTTTTGCTTGTTGACGAGGGAAGATGATAATATATTTATATAGATTTAAACGCTCAAATTAATGAAGAAGGTTATGTTTATGATTTGTTTATAATCTCTTATAATTATTTTTATTATTATTCCATCAAAATTAAATTAATAATTAAAAAAGAGTCGTTATTATGATTTTAAGCTAACAATATTGTAAGCTACCTCAAAATACTCGTGAACGAAGAACGTTTAATTATAGCAATGTAGGGAAAATCATTTCATTCAACAAAATCGTGGGAATTATTCAAACATTTTGAATAAATACAATAGTTTTATATTCAATAATATTTTTATCTAAAAGAAGAGAGAGGTTATACTTCTATTTTTTTTTTTCTCTTATAATCATTTTTATAGTTGTTGGAAAAAATTAAATTAGTTACTCTTATTTAATGTGATTTTATAATAGTTGATTTGATTTTAATCCAACAATCATAAAAATAATTGTAAAAATTATTTGGTAAAAGAGGTCATAAGTATAATCTCATTTCTACAAAATTATATTCAATAGTATTGTTTTAGATTATTATTATTATGAAATAGGATATTTTACTTATTTTTTTTATATCTATCTTGCCTATTCATTTTTAATATCATTATATTAAAAACTCAATTAATTTTTATATTTTTTTTCTCCTCTTAAGATTATGATTCAAATGATGTGGGAGAATAATAAATAAAATAAGTATAAAAAAAAATAGGGATAACATTTTATTCCTATTATTATTTAGAATTTGAGTGAAAGGTGATCCTCGAGGGTGGACCCAAGAATAGAATGAACAGTTGACCAGAAGCCACAAAGGCTGCAACGAGCAACGACAGAGGCGCAAGTGAACAACGACCGAACACCGAAAGCGAGGCGGCGCATGTGATAGATCCACCACGCACCACTCACCCAAAACCGTACGCCCCCACATGCTTATCTCTTTTTTTGTCGCCTTGGATCTAAAAAATAATAATAAAATCTTCAGAATGAATACAAAAAGAAAAAAAAAAGGTGGGTCGTGGAAATATTACTACCCATAAAAATAAAAATAAAGAATAGAAATTTAATGAAGGGTTGGCTTGGGGTATTTGCCCGGTAGCTTCCTCAGCTTTTGTCTAATCTAACCACACGTGTAATCACATATCTAACTTCAAAGCTCAATATTCAAAGTTCAAACTTGTAAACAAGCATTGAATGCTCCTAAAATTTATCATTATAATTGAGATAGAACATATGTTCACCCCATAAAAATAGCAAAATAACAGGATACCCAAAAAAAAAATAGCAAAATAACCATTACAGGATTGTGATTAATATGCATTTCCTTTTTCGTAAATTAATTAACATAATTGTAATGTTTCCATTTTTTATATTTAGAAGTAGCACACTGCATATTAATTTACTTTGACATAATTGATTATGTATGAAATTTAGCAGTACCCAACCAATACAGATCAAAGTCAAAGAAGAAAAACATCGCTTTACTTTCACATGTAGCCTCAAGCTTGGTTTTAAACTTTACATATATGAAATGAATATTTGCCATTTGGAACAGTTTTTGGCTTTTTGCTTTCTGACTCTTAATCATATCTAAGAAAAAAATAATATTTTCTCACTTGTTATGTTAGAATATTAGGAGAAACTAAAAAATATATAACAAGAAAACCATTTATATATAATAATTAAAAAAATATCTTTGTTTTAAATTTAATGTAATTAATGTTGACGAATTGAAATTAAAAAAATGATTGGCTTTTAAAATAATATTTCAATTTTAATACTTTTATATATAAATTTTGTTTGGATGATGTAATTTATTTTTAAAAATTTTATAGACCTAACTCCCAAATTAATTTTGTTGTCCTTAAAAGCAAATTTTTTTTAATTCTTTCAAAATCAAATCTGAAAATAAAATTTTACTATAATTGGTTTTAAAAAAATTACCAAACATAATTATTTCAAATATGTACACTTAGAATTGATTATAGGCTTCTTAAATCATTTCTTGCCAATATAATCTCAAGCAAACAGATATTAATTAAGTGCCTTCATATGTATACACATATTTAAAAGTAATTTCAGTCATTAAGAATTTAAGATATCTAAAAGCCTTCAGGAAAAAAAAAAATTGGTTAAAAAAAGCGCAGAAGCTGCAAGAGATTACGCGGTGAGGTGGGCCATGATGTCGTGGAAGAAAAGCTACAAATCATAAATCACGCAGATAGTGATCCAACCGTAAGTGCACATTTTCAGCCACATGCATCCTCCATCCACCATTCATTCTCTGTAGCAAAAAGTCAAAAACAACGTGCCGACTCCATGCCAACACCAGTGGGTCCCAGCTTACTCCCCCACACCCCCGTCCAAAACCATTGACGTAAGCAGTGACAAAATCACCTCTCCACACACGCGCGCACCACATTCCAAACACGACACGTGTCCACCTGCTTATCGTTCAAGTTTTTTTTTTTTTTTTTTTTCAAGAATATCGTTCCAGTGTTTTTAAAAAACTAGTATCGCAAAGGAAGCTCACGAGAAACTGACGATGAAAATAAAAGGTTAGATATTTTTCGTGATATAAGATATAAAATTATTTTTATATATAATTTCGGGTAATATAAAAAAGAATAAAAAACTCATACATTTTTTTGTATAGATCTACTAAAACATAAGAGATATTAAATTTAAATTAAAAAAAATTGAATTTACATATTTTTTTTAATAAATATCGTACAACTTTATTAATTAAAATGTAAAATTGGGCAAGCTCCTCTTTGGCACTAGCAATCTAGCATCACTAAAACGTTATCGCCCACGTGTATTCTAGAAACCGCTGGCTCCTGCCGCCACGTGTCACCGAGTGTTGCCTATAAATTGGTGCCTCTCCCTTACGTTTTAAGTTTCAGGCGCCGCCACCGTAGTTGTTGTTCTCAGTTTCGAGAGATTTCGGTAGCAAGCTTTGAAAAAATGGCATCAGAGCTTCAATTGCCACCGGGCTTCAGATTCCATCCAACGGATGAGGAGCTCGTTTTGCACTATCTCTGCCGCAAATGTACCTCTCAACCCATAGCCGTTCCCATCATCACCGAAATCGATCTCTACAAGTACGATCCTTGGGATCTTCCTGGTAATTTTTAACCTTCTTCATTTCATCTTCTTCTTCTTTTTTTCTTTTTTTTAATATTATAATAATTTAATTATTTAAAAATTCATTTAAATTTGAATTTGAATTTATTGTTATGAATATTACAGGTATGGCTTCGTATGGAGAGAAGGAGTGGTATTTTTTCTCACCACGGGACCGGAAATATCCGAACGGGTCGAGGCCGAACCGGGCAGCTGGGAGCGGGTACTGGAAGGCAACCGGGGCGGATAAACCCATTGGTAACCCGAAACCAGTTGGGATAAAAAAAGCATTAGTTTTTTACGCAGGGAAAGCACCAAAAGGGGATAAAACTAATTGGATCATGCATGAGTATCGTCTCGCTGACGTGGATCGCTCCGTTCGCAAAAAGAACAGTTTAAGGGTAAATATCTAATATCTCCTTTCTTGTTCCTATTTATTTGATTCGATTCGTTTTTATGCGGTCCCTGAATGAAATTACGATTTTATCCCTGAGGTCCCTTTACCACATGATGGAACCTCCATTAGTTGAAGACTCTCTTAACAGCATGTGGTGCCAGAGATTTTTGGGCCCTTAATTTTGTTTGTACTTGTTATAATTACTTTTTAGTTGACTATTCTCAAAAGATTTAACTCTGTCTTATTAAATTAATTTCGAGTCAAAAATTAATTATGGGAGTGATCTAACGGTTCTGATTTTGCAGCTGGATGACTGGGTGCTTTGTCGAATTTACAATAAGAAGGGGACAATCGAGAAACAACCAAGCAGCGTTGTTGTTAGCCGGAAAACCGAATCGTTCGAAATGGAGGAAGACAAGAAGCCGGTGATTGTGCCACATGTGGGTGGTCTTCCGCCACCGCCTGCGACGGCGCCGGCTCCGATGACCGATTATATGTACTTTGACGCGTCGGATTCAATCCCGAAGCTGCACACGGACTCGAGCTGCTCAGAGCAGGTGGTGTCGCCGGAGTTTGCCAGCGAGGTGCAGAGCGAGCCGAAGTGGAACGAGTGGGAGAAGAACCTTGAATTTCCCTATAATTACGTGGATACCACTTTCGGGTCCCAATTCCAGAGCAGTAATCAGATGTCGCTGTTGCAGGACATGTTCATGTACCCACCCAAGCCCTTCTGAGCATAAATAAAGCTTCGCCACTCGCCACTCGCCACACATTTGCATCGCACGGTAGCACGAGACGGAAAGGTCTATGAGTGTGCCTGTGCGAGCTCATAGATGATTATATTGATTAATTTATCTGGAAGAGAACATCAACGAGAAAGAAAAAAGGAAAAAAAAAAATAGAAGCTGGAAATGCATGTGTTGGGTCCACCATTATGCACCGGTTGTGATTAGGACAATCCAACGGTGCTTGTTTGACTCGCCTCTAGGATTAGCATGTGTACATACAGCTATTGTAGAATGTAGATAAGGTATAGTATAGGAGACGTTCTTAGTGATAGGAGGTCAATTTGGACCTTCTAATATATATATATATATATATATATATATATATATTAAGGAATTAATTTCTTAAAATACGTTATATTGTGATAGCAAAAATCCCTCACAATTGTACCGGGACGTGTTTGTGTGTTCACTTTTCATTTATGTACCTCTATTTAATTTCTAGTGTAATGCAATTAATAGTCTAAAATTGTTTATTTTTGTTATTCAAATTAATTAATGTACTACTTCTTGTTCAGGTTATTGATTTTGACAACTAAATAAAAATATAATTTTGCCGCCGGAATGAAGTGAATATTACATGATAAAGATGTCCATTATATTATTCCGATAAATATGAAATACTTAAATTTATTTAATCCCCAACCTCTTTAAATCATTAAAGTAGGCCATTAGGGTAGTCAAGTTGTTTAACACTTAAACCAACCACAAAACGTTGAAATTAGCCTTACTTCATATTGATTGGAAGGATTTGATTTCTTCTATTTGGGTTAGATTAATTCGAAGTTTTAGGAAAGATTTCAGTTCAAGTTTTAGTTACTAAAAAATATACATTAAACTTGTTGAATCATTTCTCAATCTTTACAATCCAATGTATCAGGCCGGCCTCCGAAGGTTCCATGATAAATACATAAATCTTATCTTAAAGGATATCACTTTCAGCTTAACTCACTTATTGTACATGATAGTGAAATAATTCTTCACTCACATCTGTGAGGAGTGGGCAAAAACGGTATAAATAAAAAATATTTATATATACATTTCTTCTCCACCTGAAGAGCTATATGCAAATTATTATTTTCGTTAGCTGTTATTCTACCAAAATATAAAGCCACCATAGTCATTCACATTTTCGCCTGAGTTAGAATCTAGGACAACTCTATTAGAGCTTTTGTTCATACCTCTACTATTTTCAATACTCACACTCGATATATATCACTCATTACGAGATATAGGACCCGGCTCCGACTCCTCGACAGCTCTCAGTTTATGAAATTTAAGATGTTCAGTTTCTTTTAATAAAGATCTTAGGCACGATTATGAGTCTCTTTTTATTTTTCATTTTTTTTAGAATAAAATACATTCTTATTCTTATAGATAGCATATAATTATTTTATGTTATCTACATACCTATAATTTTTATAGATAGCATTCTTGGGGAGGGGGCTGAACCGCCATCACTGCTCCCCCGCACTCCGGATTAGTCTCATAGCCAGCTCAAAGAGTCGAAGCTCGTGGGGATACCAGAGGGAGCCAACTCGCCTCAAAGAGATAATTAGAGTTGAGTAACTCCAAAAAAAAATTATTTTTGTTTTGGTTCTCTTTTGTCTGTTACTATTACGGGATTGTTTAATAATAGAGTTACAACACTGTGACTCATATGACTAAATTAAAACTAGGATCACAAATAAGAAAAAAAAAACGTATTTTATTTTTTTGTCTCTGCACATAATAGTGATTTTTAATTTAACGCTATACTTTACAAATTTTTCACATTAATCCCAGTGTTATAAAAGTAGCCAATTGTAGGGACGAATTTAAAAACCATAATCAATACATGTACTAAATTGAATTTTTATATAACAAAAGCTGAAAAATAAATGTTACATATAATAAATAAATAAAATATTCAAATCTTATTTTTATTTGATATCCGAAGGAGAGAACTAAGCGGACAGACCACTTGTGCCTTACAGCCTGTATTGAGTTATGTGCCGTTTGGTTCAGTAAAAATTTTTGGAACAGTAGGTAAATGAGATAGATAAAAAAATGATTGGAAAGATAGATAAAGTGAGATAGGTAGAAAAATGTATAAAAAAGTTGTTTGGTGGGGAAAAACTTTACTGAAAAAATTAGGTAGCTTTATGAAATCAACAGTGCATTAAAAGCCAGATAACCAATTTTCCGAAAAATCCCACGTTCAAATTGGGTTTCTAAACAGTGCGGATATCTATGTTTCTCATAAATCCAGACAAATTGGATAGATGAGCTTTTGGTGAAAAACGTTGAAACAAATATGGTGTTTCTAAAAGTCATACTTGAGAAAGATAGATATCCGCCGAAAAATTCTCAACTAAACACCACCTAAGTGTTTTATATAAGAATTTAAAATTTATCTACTCTTACAAATAATTAAATATCTCTCCAGTAAAAACTAGTTTTTTTTTTTTTTTTTTCAATGCATTTGAGATTCAAACTCAAATTCGAGAATCACCGCTAAGTCAAAAGGTTTGATGAATCATGACCATTAAACACTAGTTAGTAGCTGTTCGGTCATGAGGAGTCCGTATATCTATATCGTAAAAATATGTGTTTAGAGATATAAGAGAGATATTTTATTGGACGTAAACTGAATATATCAATCACTACACACAAGAGGCGTATAGCCAAGATATGAGTGTGTGGACAGTGTTGACAATAATAATAAATAAGTTAAAAGTGTGTACCTGAGATTTTTAACCTCTTATTTATAAGGTTTACCTTTGTGGATTTGAGCTTTAGAACTCTCTTGATAGATATAATAATTGTCTTATTTGTTGGGGATAAGGATCTTATTCTTTGATCCTCCTTGGATTATGTTGATGTGATGATATTGAGATAAATTGTGATCTTCTATTGGATATGTGGTTGAGATATGGATCCAATCCATAACAATTGTCTCTCAGCTCGGCAGTTCGAAAGCTCAGACTATTAGGGTGTAGAGGTTCAATTAATACGTCGATTATGCCGAGGTAATATCTTGAGCCTACATTTGAATTCTGAGGCAACTTCGGCTCTGTTTGATTTCTGTTCTCTAGAACAGTTTTTAAGTTTTAAAAACAAAAAAATTGTTCGGAAAGAGTGTTTTCACGGTATCTGTTTCAAAACAGTATATGTTTTTTGTTTTAAAAACTGAAAAAGCAAAACAACTAAGGGATGTTTTCAAAAGTTATTTTTTTGTTTTTGCGGTGGCATTCCTGAAAATATGATGATTCATTAATGACATTTTCGTAATTAAATCAATTTTAATTTTAATTTTAAATTACTTGCGGTGGCAATTTTGCAAATATGAGGATTCATTAATAGCATTTATGTAAATAACTACAACTTTTTTTTCCGGTAAACTACAAGTTCTTTATAACTTTAAAACAAACTATATTATAACAATTTTTATTGTTTTTTTACTCTCAAATAAGTTTTTAAGATTTATCCTCAAAACAGTTTTTAAAAACAAAAACACATTCAAACACACCATTCATCTTTGTTTCTCCTTTTATTTGGGATGTATTTGTTCTTAAACCATTAGAGGTATGAGTTTGACCGAGGTATAGGTTGAGGCGCATGTCGAGGTCTGATGATGCGCTCTATTGTCGATCATATGAGATCGGCGTTTAGTCAAGGCTAATCTTGTTTGGATATTAAGTGACCGCTGCTGAGTCGTTTTTGCCTTAAACCTCGGCTTTAATTTGTAGCTCTGTTGCTGACGTTCTTTTTATAACCGTCTTTAAGAAGGCGCCGAGGTTAGCTTATTACGGGGGTCTAAGCTTGTAACATTGACATGTCTCTTCGCATTTGTCAGTTACTTAACGGTTAAACTTTTTAACGCATCGTTCATCGATTGGTAGTTCATGCATCGTGGAGCGTGAGCCGCCCTGAATTTTGCAGGCCATGATGGCACGCATTCAATGCATGCCTTGCGAAATTACCATTATATCCTTGGACCTTCAACTCTACTCTAGCCTTTCGTTTTGCCGCCCAACGGTTACATTCGCATATATATATATATATATATATATATATATATATATATATATATATATATATATCTTAGCATCCAGTAGCCCATTTCGTTCATTTCTGATTATATGGGCACTTTGAGTTCTGAACAAGCTCAATTTTCTTGCTCGAGAATTCGTCTAGCTTCTGTGTGTTCATATTGTTCTTATCCAGGTACCTTTCAAACACTTTCTTCTCCTGAATTTCTTTACGTTTTTGTATGCTTTTAGCATTTGGTGTCAAATATTTTTGAGATTAAGATTGTGTCTTCATGCTTTGGTTTATCTGCTCGTGAGAGTAGTTCTGGGGTTCCTTCTGTTTGTTGGAGACCCTCTTCCATTTTCCTTTAAGCTGAAGCACTTTAGGGTTTCTTTTCCTTTTTTGGTATTTTCCCTGGGTTAAGATGAGTGCTTATGAGCAAGGCTCAGGTTCGGGTCCTGGCTGAGGTGGTGATGATGAGGAATCCCAAAAGGAAAAGGCCTTAATCAAAAGAATGCCCAGATCAGTTCAGTATTGGTTTTATGGCAACGAGTATACTGAGGAGGAGAAGCTACAACTGTTTCTCTGTAGCCATCAGGATGGAAGCAGCAAATGGAGATCGGCTCCTTCTGAAGGAGAACAGGGTCGAACCATATCTACGAGGGGAGGACGTGGTCAAACCACATTGATGAGGGGAGGACGAGGTCGATCTCGTCAGCTTAGTAATGTTTTGGGCCGAAGTGGACTTTCTTCAGTCGCAGCCCCGACCATATGTTCCAGGACGAGTTCCTCCCCTCTTTCTTCGAGTTCCAAATCAATTTTAGATTGAATTCCATGCATTGAACTTAGTGATAGTTCTTCCACCTCATCTTCTTTTGAGTTAGATCTTTCAAAGTTTCCTACTTCCATATTTGTATTGGCTCCCTGCTCGATTTCGAGTCAAGTCCCACACATTGAGCTTGACGATAGTTCTTCTACTTCACTTTCTTCAGAAATTGACCTTTCCATGTTCGACCTTGGTAGAAGGAGTTCGGACATATCTTATATTTATGCTGACCCTCATTCTTCCTGTTCCAGGTCGTTAATGGCAGGCTCTTCGAATGTGGTCAAAGAGGTTGACAATCATGACTGGGTGTTGTTGAAAATTCTCAACATGTGATCCTGTATGTTGGCAGAGTATATTCCCAAGCTTCCCGTGGGAAATACTATTGGGGTCGACCTTCTTCTGGCCGGTGATATACCAGTGTGGGTGGGTCCAGGTGAAGACGAGTCTCATTTTTTCTTCTTTTATCGGGATCTTATTACTAAGGTGGGATTCTGATTCCCCCTTTCCGACTTCCAAATGGCCGTACTTCACAAACTTCGCGTTGCTCCTATGCAACTTCATCCGAACTCATGGGCCTTTGTTTCAAGGTTTCGAGCAGATGTGTGCTTATCTCAACCTCCTGTGCACGATTTCTCTCTTCTTCTCTTTGTTTAATGT